ATTAAATTTTCTTTCTTTCTTTGTTTATTTTAAATGAAAGGATTGGAAATTCAATTCAAGAACTCGCTTTGAAGTAGGTAGAGATTGGGTCATATAAATCAGTAAAAAATATTTTTAATGCGTACATACGGTTTAGCCTAGTTTATAATTATTTTATCATTGTTTTAAATCTAAATCGGTGAAACGTTGACTGATCATTCATTTAGTGGTATTTGAGATGGTTAAAACTTTAAATATAATTAAATCCTATTAATTAAAATAAAAATATTAAAAAATAAAATTATTGTTTTAATGATATCAATATCTAATCTGAATCAATTGAGATACTGAGCTAATAGATCCCCAATACCGATTATTCTCCCCGAGCCACAGTTCCATTCTCCTAAGGGAAATCTGATGCAAATCTCTTCCTCACGATGCTGCTTTCCTCCGGCTTCCTCCTTTCACGGTTGAGCTATTTTCACCTTCGCAAAGAGCTACACATATCAAACTCTTCTATTGACAATATAATGCCGTTATTGATCAACACTTTGCTCAATGAACTGCGGTCGGGTGTCCTATTTGCTGGATTATAAGAAAATCATTCAGTTTTATTACGTTCTGCCTCATTTTTACAACCAGTTTATGTAAGTTCCAATAAATTATTGAAATCTTATCATTACAGTCTCTTTATATTGGCATAAATTTATTCAATTCGAAATGATTTAAAATAATTGTCTATTACGTTTATACATAAACTGCAATTTATTCTTTTGTAGTGTTTTAATTTATCTTCTTCTTCTTCCTCTAACTTTAAGTTTGGAGTTGGGATCAAATGCAATAATAGTACAATCTGCCATAACAAATGTCAATAATTATTAATGATAAGTATATGTATGGACAAAAAAAAAATAAAATAATAATAATAATAATTGCGAGTTGATGGTTGACTGTACCGAATAATAAAGAGAAGGATAGTTGGGGTCAAAAATAAAATGACAAAAATAAATAATAATATTTATTTTAACATTTGCCGAAGTTCAGACCTTCATCAGAGCTGAGGAAAGCACCAGATAACAATACAACAATATTTAAGATAACAATATTTCTCATACCAATTGTTATCTGGTTCTTTTCTCAGCCCTGATGGAGGCCTGAACTTCGGGTCGAAACGTCGGCAAATGTTAAATAAATATCACTATTTGTTTTTGACTGATAACCCCAACTATCCTTCTCTTCATTAATAATAATAATAATAATGCTAGGTAGTTAATTAAAATATATTTATAAAAACAAAAGTATATTAATATGTGTACACTACAAATAAAAATATTTAGAAATATAAATTATAATAGTAAAATAAGTAGACACAATAACAAAAATTGAATAAATACAAAATATATCTTCTTGAATACATTCATACACATATACATATATAAAACCTGTACCACTACAACCCATGAAGGGTCTTGGGTTCAGTACTATTTAGGGAAAGTATTGTTTTTTAGTCTACGGTTGTGCAAGGAGGTGATATGATTACGATCACGCTCAACCGCCAAGTTTTATATATATATATATATATATATATATATATAAATATATATTTATATACACACATTTTAACATGTAAATTTTAGAAAAAATGTTTACATTATGCATTGAAACTTACAGAATTATATATTACAGAAATAAAACTCCATTTCCCTCAACCATGAAAAACCTGACATGCTAACGTTCGCATTTAATGGAACCTTGTTGCATGCTTGGTCGACCTGCATGCGGTCCCTTATCGTGGATGAGTTTGCTGCAGGTTGGGAACATGCCAATACTTCATTACATAGTTCTTTTTTGTGATTTGTGAAGCTCGATCGGTTAAATGCACTTCATTTATTTATTTCAGGACCCTTAATTCGCTTTAATGTTAGGAAATGTCTAACTCGTAGTAATGGAAAAAATATTTTGAATGAATTATATCTTGTTATTTAGAAATTATATAAATTTTGAAAATGACAAAACTACTGACATATCGCCACGCTACTGCTAGTGCGAAAGATCGTATGTAATAATTTTACATATTTATTCTCTTTGCGCGAAAGGTGACATTTTGTAGTCTTCAATTGCAATAAGTATAGGAAAAGAGCAGAGGGAAATAAAACATTAAATTATTCTAATAAATTATAACAAAATAATCGATTTTACAAATGACATTTTGCATTAACAGTAGCGATATGCATATTTGAAACACTCAGGAGTAATACAAAGAACTATTTCTTTTCTTTTATGTTAGCTAATGTTAAAAGAAGAGTATGGTTTTGGAAACGCTAATTAATAATTTTTTTTTTAATATTTGACTACTTAACAATAGAAATATTTGGTATTTGGCATACAATAATGACGATATCATTTGGCCTAACAAGTTCACTGTTACCACTTGCGGATCCAGGATTTAATTCTGGGGGGCTTCGACCCGAAAGATCTTTTTTTCATAAAACTTCATAAAAATAATTTGAAAGAAAAGGAGAAAGAAATTAACTACCTATATGAAATCGTGTTTAAGTGGTTCGTTTAAGTCCTATTAAATGTAATTAAACGAACAAGAATACTTTAAGAGATAGTTTTTAATATTTTTTTCTGTAAAACATGGTTATATTTTACCATTTTGGGGAAGGGGGCTTTAGCCCGAAAACCCTCACCCCCCGTAGATCCACCTGTGACTGTTACGATGTGTTGTTTCTGAAGATGTAGTGGGACTGGTTTCCATCTTTTTATGGAGGAACTTCAACACCAATTGCTATAAAATCACAATATATAGTAAATCTAAATTGATAGCTGGCGAATAGTCTCAAAAGATGAAAGCTGTAAACGTTTAAGATTGAAGTGAGAACCAAGTTTCCAACATTTTACGAGTTATCATTTCAGTGAGGAGGACCTAAGCTTCTATTCTCATTAGTTTCAACTAGAGCTACTCAAGAACAGCCTTTCAGCTGGTCGCAATGTTACGAGAAAGTAGAAGAAGAAGGGAAGAAAGTAGTTATACTCCAGTGGCTGGAATAATGTCTTCCGCCTCCTCGCTGGAATCTGGGTTACGTTTTTAAAGCGCAACGAAAATACATGTTGTTATCTGTTTCGGTCGATATTATTCTTTTTATCCAGTGAATATTTTTTCTTGTTCACTAAAATTCTCATGAATAAATGGAAGTAAATTTCATTAAAGTACACCTAATATTCATAGAATGATACAAATGTACAATTCCAGAACAATTTGGCTGATATGATAAAATAAAATAAAATCATAGGTGAATAAATTATAATTCTGATATTAAATAAATCCACAGAATCTAAATACATACACATTCGTATTGAAATCTGTGTGAACATACGACTCGAGATTAATGATGAGAATAATGGTTCATAAAAAAAATGACACTATATAAATACAAACTTTTCCACCCCAAAATTTTGAAAACTGATTACAGCACTTAATGGTAAAGTGCATAACAAAACTCAAGAAACCGATTTACGATAAGTAACGATTTTATTCTCGTTTTTTAAAATAAACTTCACGGATACAACAATAGACTGGCTGCATATGGCTTCGGATGGCATTCACATTAGAAGGCGACTAAAAAGAAGCTGGACGAGAGACCTTCCTTCATGGATCAAGGGCTTTTAATCATGAACGGGAAGTGGTATTGCTGGGTACTACCCTTCTCTATCCCTGTAATGCCATAATCATACTTTCTGAACATTTTCTTTGTTTTGTTTACAGAAAATTTCAAATAATTTTGAAAAATACAACAGAATTACTTTGGGTGATGCTAAAATATACTCTTTTTCTGGATTCCATTGCAACTAAGTACATTTATACCAGTTTTGTCAATTTTTGCCTTCAACACAATTCTGAAAACATTTCGAATCCCGAACATCAAGTCATAGATGGCTTTAAATGTCTAAATTAAAAAAAATATTTGTTGGATCGTTTTGTTATAACTGAAAAGAAATTCTGAATATCCCATTAACATGTCATGGATGTGGGAGATGTAGGGGTGTCCAGAAGAGGGTTTTATTAAACAGCCATTAAACTTTTTAGGGGAGATTATTTTGACCGGTTTTTTAATTTCTAGGGGGCACATTTCAAATTGTTTATGAATTTTCGAAATGAAAAGTTTCAGAATAAGGGACAAGAAGAAAACGTGCACAACAACAGACCGAAACAGACCGCAACAAGTATAATTGTATAAGATCTACTATGAAACATTTTGGGCTAGATAAGTTGTAAAATAAAATGAAGTTAGTGGTGAAAAATAAAATATACATATTTGAATATTTCCATAATCCCCAGTTCATTTAACTTGGACTTGAGTTTATTCAAACATGCGTGATATGGATTGGCCCCGTTCTGCTAATGCCGAATTAAGCCTTCTTTTAAAATGTACCTATATCTCAATAGGTATAAAGTCTTTCTAGAACTTTGAATATGCTAGAAATCGCATGCTAAGCAAGAAAAGAAGACATTGATGGTTAACAAGTGACTATGAATGAAAGGGTATTAGGTAAACAGATTTATTAAAAGCATGATACACCTTCTAGTCACTTAGATTGTAGGATGTTATTTCGACCGGTTGTGTTTGTCATTCTGTCATTTCCCATCTTCTGTCATTCCTTGGATCGACCGAGGCAAAAGGCATTTTATGTATTTTCTCTCTAAGGAGGCATATCAAAACACAATAGTTTCTTGACAGTTCTGAGATACCAAAAAACTTGTTTACTTATCAGATATCAGAAGTCATGATGACATTCAATTTTTGACACAAATTATCACTCTCGATGGTAAATAGTGTCATGACATTAATGACGTCACAACATGAAATATGCTTTCTCAGAGTAACGGAAACAAAAAAAAAAAAATATATCTTCCCATTTTGGCCACTAATGATAATTGTAAAGTGATTTTACAATAACCACTGTAAAATCACTAGACGTTAGATAACTGCTCCCTGGGGACCGGAGCAAATCCATACCCAATACTCCCCCGTTTAGCTGAAAACGAACCTCCATCGACCGATAGCTTTCTCCCCCGGTGTCCAGTGCACCAAGGATATTACCGAGGCATTGGTCCGGTGGCTGTGCTAGAAAGCTCTTTGTCGCGAAAGTAGCCCTAGAAACCTCATCTACTCCGGCAACTCTCCATTCTCTTCTGAGACTTTCAACATGTAAACAAGCCATTAAGATGCGTGAGTCTAGGTGAGCGAAAGGCTGGCGTTCAGTAATGTCTGCAATGAGCCATCTCCCGCTTCGTAAACTATATTGTTGACGTGACGATACAAACAAATTACCTTAAGTAAGATATTTCACTATCAACAAGTGTGAAATTACTCTATGTGGTTTAAACTATTATTCTTTATAATGTTCTTTACGGTTTAGTCAAGATCATGGGAAGAGCAACGGCTTAAGTATTATGGGAGTATTTAAATATAACTGCGGTGATAGCATTAGTGCTAAACGGTTAATAAGCGCTGTGTCGACTGGTGTAATAAAGAAAAATACGAATCTTACTTTTCTACAAAATCTCGGAATTTAATCATCAAATAATAATTGCTTCAAGTTTTGAAAAATGAATGATAAAGTAGTAAAGTAGTATATATATTTTTGAATGTTCTTAAGACTTTTACGTAAAATGTTACGTATTTTTAATTTACTTACTTAGTTGTCGAACGCATTAGTTTAATAACCTTATTCACTGTGCTTACTTTACCGATGCATAGATTTTTTAAAACATGCATCTTCCTTGCTTCAGAAATCTCGTAACTCATCTTACGGTGTTTCTTCTAATGTAATCCAATGCCTATTATACGAGTTCAATATCTTCATAACGACTGTAGTGAACAATGGTCATTTATTCACATGGGGTGGAAAATTTCTATCATGGCTGATAGCGAACTCAAAGATTTTAAATTAAAAAAAAAGAAATACAATAATAAATACACATTTTATTTTTACAACAGTCATTCCCTTGGATCAATTATACCATTGCACTCTAATAATTGTACAAAAAAATTGTTTATTACATAGGCTATTAGGTGATAAACGGAAGTCACGGAATAGTATAAAATATAAAAACATAAATAATAAAAACCATTATAAAAAATATTCCAAATAGAGTAGAATATATAATACAAAATACTTTCACTCATGGAGTTGAATGCTCCCAAAATTTGCCACAATATCCACATTGTTAGTAGTGATTATCAAAATCCTTTTATTTCTTGTGCTGTGATGGATAATCTTTATCTGAAAAAAAGAAGAAGTAATCTGTAATTGAAGTAATATTTATATGAATAATTACAAATACATTTTTATATTTTTTTTTGTCTATTATTATTATTTTTCCCCTCTCATCTTCGCCATCACATCTGCTGATTATTAATAAATGCAATGTAATGCAATGCAATGGATTGAAAAATAGAAGTGAAAAAAGATTTTTATAAAATTAAGGTCTATATTTTGAAGAGTAAAATATATAAAGAAAATTATAGTTATAGGTTTACCAAAATCATTGTCAAGGAATCTAGTTATTAACAATTAAGCGATATTTAAATAGAATTTACCTCACTGCATTACTTTCCTGAATTTCATGTTGTCAATTTCTAGTTTGCTTGCCTGGAATGCACAATGACGAAGCACTTATTGAAAAGTGATTGCTGGTCCATGTTTTGAAAAAAAATAATTAGAAATTCAATACATACGCACCAAATTAAGACATTAAATGTACAGTTTACAAGGAATACACGTGAATGCTAGCTAAGAACTAAAACTTTATCAGATTATAAAAAGCACTCGAAAAATGAATGTATCATGATAATACTGACAAGTGGATAAGACACTAATTAGAAGATATCATATCGGTTTTATTACTCGCACTTTTAAAAAGACGTAGATGTTGATCCTAGCTAAAATTAAAATTACGATCATTAAAAATTTGGCGACTGAAAACAATAGGGGTGCCTTTCTTCTACATTAGATTTTAAAATGCTTTAATAAAACCAGCTTACTGTAAGTGTACCCGAAAAACACCACTAGGGAATGTAGGTCAGTTGTATCTCTTCGTTATATCTTCATAAAATTCAGTTTCTTTATGTCTAAATCCTCTTTTCTCAAAATCCTTGGCTACTGAGAGATTGAAAAGAGTATACTATATATATACATATATCAGATTCTAAACAAGAATACTCACAGACAACCATAGAACAGACAACCATACTGTTGAAATATTTAAAATCACAGATACCTCCATTACCCATTTCCAGCCATCACGAGATTATCAATTACGAGAGGAGTAAGTGACCTACATTAAAACTGTGGGTAATGAACAAGCCGATCAAGCAGCCAACATGGCAAGAAAGCCAGATACAATATTCGTGAAATGAATTAATGAAATCCCTCTTGAGGAATACTTAAAAAAAATTAAGGAAAATGTGTTGAACATGTGGCAAAGCAAGTAGGAACAAAAGGAATCTAAATTAAAGGAAATTAAACTCCACCGTTTAAAATGGAAAACCTCTCACCGATCATCTCGAAAAGAGGAGACAGCCCTTTGCAGATTACGAATTAGACATTGTGAGTTCTCGCCTACCTACTAAGACGACTTGATCCTCCGACCTGCGAGAGCTGCAATGTCCAAAGGACAATAAAGCACATTATTCAAGACTGCCCTACACTTGATCCTACAAGGAAAAAGTTGACATGGCACAGAGTCTAAAACAAAATCTACAAGACAGTGAAAGTGCAGTCAAAAAAACTTTAAGGTTTTTAAAAGAGATAAAACTCTACAACAGAGTGTAATTTAAAGGCGTTACCAATGATCCTACAGGGTAAAGGCAACAAAACATCAAATAAATAAATAAATGAATAATAAAACTGTGGGTATTTAGTGCCAGCAGAATTTGATGCTCTACAACTTTAACTCCATGTATTTTTTTCCTGGGAAAATCATTTCCAAGCTGCCGGGTCATTTGTAGTAATTTGTCGCAGTTTTTGGACAAATTGGAAATTATCAGGGTTCGTTGACCGTGGTTATCGACCATACCAGCAAAATTATTAAGTTTAGGTACTCGTTTGACGCACGATTTAACGTTCTTTTATCTCTTATAGATTAATAAACAACAACAAAAAAATCGATACAAATTCGGCTTTTTTGATTGTAAAAAGTTTTCTCTCGGTGGCCTGCGTCAGTAATTTTGTTTTCTTACACGTTTAAACTTATATATACAAGTTAAAAAATAAAAACTTTTCTCATATTTCATCGCAATATCGCAAATTTCCCGTTTTGACCGTCAAGTTACTAGGCTAATATTCTTTTAATTAGCCGCCATTTTTCAGGTAAAATGATCCAACTGACAGACTTTTATTTTGTTAATACATACGTTATGAATATTCAAAAAAATGCTTTCAAAATTTTTACCAAAAAATGCTATTTTTTCTCACGTGCTTACGGACTATAAGCTAATGTGTGCCATTTTGATGTTAACTTCCGGGCCTCGATACAACAATGTTTCTTCGAAATCAGATCAGTCGTATTTTCATGAAAAAAAAAAATTATAATAAATACGAGTATTAACGTATTATTTTATCTATCAGATAAAAACCAACAATAATCTTTTCTATTCATCTGCATTCATTTTAGGTCGTAATTTTTAAATGAATAAATTAAAAATAAATAAATGACGAGACGATTGAATGAAACTTATCTCATTCCTTACGAGTGAATAATAGCGTTCACTGAATAAGTCTTGCGGTAATATCCAGCAATGTAAGAGAAAAAGTAGTTCATGGTAAAGTAAAACCTATTGCGGTTTCAATATTTCACTATTCACTGATTGAAAAACCTGACAGGATATTTGCAAAATAAAGAATTTCTCATTCAAGAAGTGTAATATAATCAGTGGAATAATATGGCAGAATATTCTACTGGTGGATTTACAATACATTGTAATACATTTAATGGAATAAAAATTAATAAAATTTATAATTAAAATGAAAATCGCTTTATTTCACCCTTACACCTCTGCTCCATGTTTCAATTCATTTTACTTTTCTTGACGACGTTTCAGGCAATTCTGCCCATTTTCAAGTCGAAATATTTATATCATTATTATATAATCTATATAATTATATTTTTATATAATTCTTGTAACATTTTCGTCTCACATCCTTCTAATTATAAAATCCATAACTTATTTATGTAAAATCAATTCTAAAAAACTGAAAATACTGTGTACCGTCAAAAAATTAAACATTATTTTAAATTTACATCAAATGTTACACATTTTCGTCCCTTTAATACATCAGCCTTACGTGACAGCTCACAGTGGACATAAGGCTGTTTTTTTTTTAACGATAATTTATCTGAGAGAAAAAGAAAGAAATTATAACAAGTGATGAATAAGTTGTTCTTGAAGGTCTCTTCGAAAAAAAAACTCAATTAAAATAGAAAATGACCGACGCAATAATGCTTTAAGGTATAATTTTTCCTTTTTTTTTTCTTCTCTGAATGTGTATACAATTAGTAATTGCATAAGCGAGAGAAAATTACGATAAAACTGTACACCTGCTCAACTACGTCGAGTTGCTACAAAACCCAGCATGCTGATACAACAACCAGCATACTGATCAGTCCTAATATTATTTAGTGATAGAGAACATGAAGGATAGAGTTCTTGTGGGACTATTATCCAAAGTACCGAACGATGTAATTTTCTCTTAATTTTCTTCCTTCTCACGACTGTCCGTAGAGCTCATAACGAACTGACCAGAATTAATGCATGTGATGGTACGAGTCCATAACAGTTTATTCTGCCATGTTCTGCAGATGGCTCCTTTCCACACCCAGCTTTTCCAAAAACTCAGCAGTTGATGGTAGAATCGCTGCTCTTCTACTACCAAACCACAACCCCGAACCGAGTATCCTCTTTCACCAAATCCCTTTCTATATTTCTCCTGCAGGTACGGGATGCATATTTTATATATCTCGTCTTTCTTCTGTTTTTATTTTAAGATGTTAATGATCATCGTTTGTTTCAAATCTAATTGTAGGATCGACTATCAGAACCTCTTTTCCTTTCGCACTAAAGATTAAGATATTTACGAATCTCGATGATCTTTCCGTATCTATGCAAACTTCAAGGAAACATCTATACCTTTTCCTCTCTAGGAATTCGGCAATTCGA